CAGTCCTGTTCCTTTGCAGGGTAAGGAAAAGTGAGGAGGGCTGTCCCATGCCTGCTTACACACACTGCTGAGAGCTTGGTGCACAAAATTGTATAACCAATTTCAAAATTTCTTTTAGCTAGTCCAGGCATTCCGGCTGTCCTTCCAAAAATAAAAGGCAAAATTTTCAACATCACAGAAGACTAATAAACTAGGCGCCCGCATCCACTGATATCAACAGAGTGGAATCCCTTACAACTCAGAAAGTCTAGCCACGTATTTACTGCTGATACCTGACTTTTGTAATCGGGGTTGGAACATTTCAGCTGAAAGGTTTGCATTCAGCACTTTCCTGGGCTGAGAGGCAGATCTTCTATAATTGGGACTCAATTAGCTACGTGCCTTTTCAGCTAAGATCTGGCCCCGTGGGCCTGATTCTTTACAATACTTTTGCGTAAGCCTGGGAGACGACCCTTCTCACCAGCATTGCTGAAAGTGGACTTCTGTATTCAAGTAGGAAGCTGTTTCTGCCAGATTTTTCACGATGCTTTTGCTCTCATTAAAGTACATGATATAGCTAGCAAGCAAAAGCTATATTCTTCTGCAAGATCCTTGTCCACAAAAAATCCTTTCTGAGCCCTGTATTTTGCGGTGAGTAGCAGTGAGTGCCTTGCTTTGAAAACATGAATCTAAGTCAAAGATTAGTCCACATTTCAAATATTAAAGCAGATTCTCAGATAGTACTTCATTGGAACAAGTAGGGCTAGTCCAGTCTAGAGCAACTGAGGATCTGGGTCTAAAAAAGGAGCTCTGAACTCTAATTAGAGATAAAGAAATAGGGAGCTACTTTTTTCATACCTCCATGCTGTCTTGTCTGTTGATGTCATGACACCCGAATAGGTAGTAGTAACTGGAATGAAGCCCAATAGCTAATTTATACTTAACATACCCTTAGTTCTTACTAATTCCTGTGGTACGCTTTAACTTCAAGCACTTAGAAAAATGCTTAGGAAAATCATCCATTCCATGCTTCGGTTCCTCACAAGCATCCCTGCATCATTGTTTGTTCCTGGATATGTCTGTTAGCATCACTGCTTTGGTAACTTTCCATTTTAGGACAGTATTATAAATGATTGAGATGTGTTAAAATTCACATGACACTGCTCTGTCATTTTCCCTCTATCAAGTAGTATCTTGCCATCAAATAGGTCTCCTGAGATCATGCTGAAGTTCCCGAAGTAAGGTGAAACCCTGCACAGAGAAGGCTGGCAGTATTGGCTATTTTAATTTTAAGAATGTACAATAGTGTATGTGCATATCTAGGAATATAGAGGGGAAAAAATAATCCTATATATTGCACATTAAATTATGATTTTAGTGATGAAGACACAAGGCATCCCTTAGCTACCAAATCACCCATTTTTGTGTATTTTATCTTTAAGAGGATTTCTGATACTATCACAAAGCTGGTCTTCGTTCCCTGCCAAAGGGATCTGAAAACACTGGAACTAGTAAAAATATTTCTGTATATCATACTGGCCTGTTAAATATTTAGCTAATTTAAAAAATAGTAACAATTCCTGTGATTAGCAGCTACAGCATATCATGTCCAGATTCCTTTTTTTTACTGTAAGTGTAGGATACCTGTGCAAACAAAAGCAGAATTTGGCCTGGGATATAAGCAGAATCTTATATCTCTGTATTATTTATTTCCTGTTCTTGGGCTGAGTGAAATTGAAGTGAAATAAATATTAAAAGACATTAAAGAAAAAAAAAAAAAACACATCCAAGGCAGATTTCATGACAGCAGAACAAGTTTCATTTTGAGTGGCAATGCACTGACAATAACTTTTGGCTTCGGTCCACATCAATCTGGAGGCCCAGCTACACAAGCCAAGCTGGCTCAGGATCACTTCTAAACAGGCAGTTATCACCTTCGGTGCAGTAATATTCCAGAGGTCCAAATCAGGACTAAGCCCTTTGCACAGGTGTGACATGCTCACCCGGCGTAATCCTTCCTCTGCCGTTGTCTGTGGCAAAAGTCCCTCCGACTTCTCTGGCGTTAGAAGTCTGGCTGGCCTCCCCAAATGTTCGTGCTCCCTGCCTTTTCCCCTCTTTCCCACTTCATTCTGGTTTTCTGCGTGTTGTGAAATCTTAAGGATTTTAATGCAATTCATCTTTTCCTCTTCCATTTGTCAACCTTTCCTTCCTTTACAGACTGGTTCTGAACCAACCCCTCAAGGACGAGTGGAGGAAACTCCTGTGAGCAATGAGCGGGGTGACGAGCCGGCTCGTCATGTCTTCTCCTTCTCCTGGTTGAACTCACTGAATGAATGATGACTCACTCCGGCTGGCTTCTGGTGTGCTTCTCCTCGGAGGGACCGTGAGCGCAGGCAGCCTGGCTGCAATCAACAAAGAAACTGGCCTGGAAAGGGACATCCGAGCAGGTTTCATTCCCAGGAACTCAGTTGACCTCCACATCGTACCCGGTCCTTGAGATGATAGAGTCCTAAGCGGGATGGGAGCATGGGGACAAATTGCTATACTGTATCGTAGTCAGAGTGTTTGCCAATAATTTCTTGTTTCCAAGGGGAAAATAGCATCACTACAGCTGTAGGCTGAGCACTGCTAATGTTTTGTTATTCACTTTTTGGCATGTCCTGTGTAGGTGTAAATGCTTCACCAACGTTGTTAGCTAAAATGCTGGTAAGGTATTCACTAGTAGCATCCTTTACCAACACAGCATTTCTCCTCAGAACCCTCCTGCATCCCAGCTCGTCGGTACTGGTGACTTCAGTGACACTGTCACGCCCTTGGCACCCCCAAGTCAGCGTTGTGCCAAAGCACCTCCCTGCGGTCACTCGTAGTCCCCACGGTACCGGTGCCTCCCCGGCTGTGGAGGCTGAACACAGGAGGGGAGAGGGAAGCTGCCATTTCTTCCCTTGCACTTGCTCTTCCTGCTAAGCCACAACAGACGACACTCACATAAACAGGTTATTTGTAGGGAAGGTGCCCAGCGGCGGGGACGAGGAAGATGCACACGCCAAAAGCACTGGCCACCCCCGCGCATGGATGCAAGACACAGCTCTGAGCATGTGGGGCAGATGCTAGAGCGCTGCCTGCGTCTGTCCTGCCATAATCTGTGTCTACGCCTTCTCAGTCATCCATGTGTGTAGGAAAAGGGGCATGTTCTTGCATGAAACCAGGATGTGGTGAGGTGGTCACAGGCAATAATTCAAGGTTTAATTTGAAAGCCCCATGGTGCACTGTAGAAAAGGCAAATGCCGAATGTCCTGTTCCGTGTGCATGGCAGACGTGGAGCCGCCTAATGAAATCAAATTTGTGTCTTAAAAGAAGCTCTAAAGGTGTACTGAAGGTGACACTCCGCAAGTTTTGTCACTGGGGACAGGGTGTCAGCACTCAGTAGTGTTTAAGAGAGATTGGCAGGTTGCCGGGAGTGCTCGGTGCCATGGGGGACCAGGTGTCAAGCTCTGCGCTAGGGTTAAGCGTGGATCTTTCCAGGAGCCCCGAGTCGGGCCCTAAACACACCATTTTGGCAGGGGACTATGCCAGGCCATAGGGCTGAGCTGCGCCCCAGCAGGACTGGTGAGCTGGCAGTGCAGACGCAACGCAGCGCCTGGTTAGCAGGCTGTGCGGGGTCAGCCCCGGGCCCCGCCATCCCTCGCTACAGGGCTGAGTCACATCAACCCTCATTTGTACCCGTTTCCCCTGGAAAACGCTACTGCGAGAGAAGTTTTGGAGGGCTGCGTAGGTGACGTCTGCACAAAGCTTTGAGACTCAGCCCAGAGCAAGCGCCGCCCCGCACCGCTACCGCCACCGCATCGCCTCCGGCTGCTGGAGCAGCTTTTCCCTGGGATTTGGTTTGGGGTGAGGGATTTCCTATTTTCTCCCAGTCATCCTGGAGGATTTCCCCCTGTTCCTCCCGGGAAGTTTCTCCACATGCACCGCCACCTCCCCAGCGCCCCCGGGAGGGACCCGGCTTGGGGACCGGCACCGGGACGGGGTGGGGGGGAGCCGAAGCGGGATGGCACCTGCCCTTTTGGGGTGCGGGAGGATGCGCAGAGCTAGAAAGAAAACAGAAAAGAGATGCGGGAGCTCCTCACCGGTTTCCCATCGCTGCGCTCTGGCAGGAGGATGCTGCCCGGCCCCGGCCGCAGCGGCAGGAGCCGGGGAGCCCCCTCGGG